CGAGCCCTTTGATTTAATTGCGCTTGTTCTGACGTTTTCCTTGCCACGTCCAGCAGCAGTTGGATCGGAGAGGGCACGCCTTACGGCTACGGCACGCTCCGCAGGTGCCGGAGGGCAGGGATCTCCCTCCCGTGCTGGAGAGCCAGGAGTTAGTTGACAGGAGGTGGCTTAGACCACATTTTTTCCTGCTGCAACCCCTTGTGCAGAGCAGGAGGGAGCCGGGGGGGTGATTTATTGCCTCTGGGGATTGCAGCGCATCCGCCGGAGCGAGGGGATGGCTGAGGAAGCGCTGCCGTTATTTCACGCTGCCACCATCCCGTTCTGGCTCGGGCAGCGGAGCAGCAGCTCCTTGGGAAACGTGTGACGAGCGAAGTAACACGGCGAGTGGGACGGTGCAGATCTTGAGAGCTGCTTTTCCTTCCCAGCGTACTGGGACACCAGGAGAGGGGGATTGCCCTTGGAGGTGTCCGCCGTGGAGGTCAGCCACAGGGATCCCGTGTACGGAGCGATCTGGCTGCAGTCCAAAACGGGCATGGAGTGCTTCTCGGCCTCCACTGACGGGCAGGTAAAGGGCAGGAAAGGGTGCCTACGCAGGCAGGGGCCACGCTAGCACCCCAAAAGACCTTCCCCTGGTCCTTGCAGCATGGAAATCAGGGAACGGAGGCACCCAGCCCCCGGCCAACCAGGCTCCCAGGCTGGTAGCACCGTCTGGCTCCGGGACACTCGGCTCCCCATCGCCCGCAGCGGAGCCGGGAGCAGCCCTGCATCCTGCTGCTTATCCCGTGCAGGTCCTGTGGTGGGACATCCGCAAGCTATCCGAGCCCACCGAGACGCTGGTCTTGGACATCACCCGGAAAGGGCTCCTGGAGAACGCCCTGGGTGCCGTGGCACTGGAGTTTGAGCCCACCATGGTGAGCCCCCTGCCCTGCCATGGGCATCGCCCTGCCTGCACACAGCCACGAGCAGGAGCCGAACCAAACCAAGCTGAGAGGGCAGCGCCCAGTCCCCCCCGCATCACCCCCGGGACACCCCACAAGCCCCATTGCTGCAGCCTGTAGCACGTTCTCACCCATCTTTAGGCCTCAGGAGTTGATGTTCTCCCAAAACACAGCATCTCGCTGACATTTCGGTCCCTAAATCCCCCCAATCACAGCGGGACCCAGCGCTCCGTTTGCCCGAGCGCTGCTGCTGCAGCATCTTCCCCCTGCTCGGACAGCGAAGCCCTTTGCTGCCCCACTGCCCCCTGCACCGTGGGGTCCCAACCTGCTCTCTTCCGCTCCCACCCTCAGCCCACCAAGTTCATGGTGGGCACAGAGCAGGGCATCGTCGTCGCCTGCAACCGCAAAGCCAAGACACCCCCCGAAAAAATCACCAGCACCTACAGCGGCCACCACGGACCCGTGTACGCGCTGGCCAGGAACCCCTTCTACCCCAAAATCTTCCTGACGGTCGGTGACTGGACTGCTCGGATCTGGTCCGAGGAGACGAAGGAATCGCCAATCATGCGGACCAAGTAGGTGTGGGTGTGCCTAAGTTTGCCCGGCAAAGATTCTGCTGGTGTGTGGAAAGGCATTTTTGGGGCAGAAAACCAGCAGGGTCTGGTTCTCCTTAACATCCTTATCCGTGACCTGGACCGGGGGGAGTGCACCCTCCGTCAGTTTGCTGGGTGGGAGTGTCGAGCTGCCCGAGGCTCTGCAGAGGGATCTGGACAAGCTGGATGGATGTTCTGGGGCCAATTCCAGGAGATTCAAGGCCAAGAGCCGGGTCCTGCACTTGGGCCACAACCACCCCCTGCAACGCTCCAGGCGTGGGGCCGAGGGGCTGGAAAGCTGGAAAGGACCTGGTGGGGGGGTTGTAGACCTTATCGCTCCCTGAAAGGAGGGTGCAGAGGGAGGAGGGGGTCGGTCT